AGACCCCGGGCCAGCCCGGAGCGCCCGCCACCCCCGGCACGGCGGGGGACAAGGGCCAGGGCCCGCCCGGTTCGGGCCAGAGCCAGCAGCACATCGAGTGCGTGGTGTGCGGGGACAAGTCGAGCGGCAAGCACTACGGCCAATTCACCTGCGAGGGCTGCAAAAGTTTCTTCAAGAGGAGCGTCCGCAGGAACTTAACTTACACATGCCGTGCCAACAGGAACTGTCCCATCGACCAGCACCACCGCAACCAGTGCCAATACTGCCGCCTCAAGAAGTGCCTCAAAGTGGGCATGAGGCGGGAAGGTGAATATTTCTTCTCTGCTCTCCCCGCGCTTCACCCGCCTCCCTGGCTCTCTTTCTTTCTCTCTTGTCTGGGTGGCTGCTATGTGGGCTTGGGGCTCCTGTGGTCCCGGCCGGTCCCAGCTTCCCCAGTCCCCGCTCCTTTCCTCCCCCAGCGTGCCCCCCCCTCCCCAGCTCGCTGCCGCTGCCTCCCCCTCCCGGCCTGCGCTCCTCTCCCCGGCTCCCCTACCCCGCCCGCTGCCTGCTCAGGATTGTGTCCCTGGAATCGTGAGCTGTGGCTTAAAATCCCCTCCCTTCCTCTGTTGGATGTGCTCGGTGTGTGTCTCTTTACCCGCGTGAGGATGCTGGGGGCTGTGCTGGCATGAACTTGGGCAGGGGTGCTTCTTTTTCTCAGAAAACTGTTTCTGTGTTTTGTGGTGTGTGTTGTTGTTGTTGTTGTTGTTCATTCCACTTCCGCCCTTCCACCGTCTTCATAGCCTTTATTTATAATGGGAGAGGGCTGGAGGCTGGAGTACCCTGAACCAGATTCCTTGCAACCATCATCATCCTCCTTTGGAAGCTTAGCTTGGAAAAAGAGGAGTGAGATTTATTGCACTTGTAGGTCTAATTAGGGGGGAAGAGGGGGGCTCTGGCCTGTTCACTGGTTCCCTCTCCTCTTCACGAGGCTAGGGCCGCCTCCTCCGGAGCTGTGGCCTTGTTTTCACCCCTCTACTTTGAAAGGAAAGTTTCTGACTGAACCCTGCTTTCATAGTAGTGTCATTTTTTAAAAGCATGGTACTCATTTTATTTCTTCATCTAACTCCACCCTCTGCTTAAATAAAGCATACAAATTACAATTTACAACGGCATTTACCAATCCTTCTGATTTGGTCATAATGCATAGACTGCAGCTGGCATGAGCTTCCGCATCATTTAATCTTTACGTTGTATGGTGGTGGTGTATGTGTGTGTTTTTTTTTAAAAACACAACTTTTGATGTTATATTTAGATATGCTTCATGTTCATGTGGCAAGAGATGCAGCACTTTTCTGATTAATTTATTTCGCGGCTTATAGTTAAAGTTTATCTCCTGACAATCATTGAAGAAGTCTTATAGTCAAATTAGTGAAGCAGTCAATTTTACAGAATGCAGATTACTCCTTCTTGTAATTGACTTTAAAATTATATTTTATATGCTACAAGGAAAGAAATTGAATTCCTTCAGATCTCAAGGAGAAGGCAAATATGACGACTTCATTTCTAGCTCCAGGGAGATTTTGTAGGCATCTGAAGGGGGGGGAGACAACTTTGAATTGTGCTCTCATTTAATTGAAAAATAACTGCCAAGTTCAAACTATAATTAGAAAAAAAAGTATTCTGCCATTATGCTTCAAGAGCTTAAATTACACTGGAACTTGTGTTGAAATTAGAATAAGAAGAAACTTAAGAAAATGGTATACAACCTGAAATAAGACAGCTACATGGACATGGACATATCTATATTAATTTATTGAGGGAGAGAGTTTAGTAGTCCTAACTTTTCATAAAGTTGTCTTTGTTTACCTGGCAATTTAAAATGCTGGCACTGTTGAAGTAAAACATACACATTAAAAAAAAAACTTTGGTCAGCTTTAAGAACTCAAAGCATGCTTACGTTTTGCATTCAGATGGTTAATGAATCCAGTGTTTTCGCAGTTGCAAGCTCGTGCACTCACTGGGCAAAAGCTGGCTGCAGGTTGCAGTAGCTCGGCGCAGGACAGACATTAATTATATTTCCCACTTTTTTCAATAATGTTTGGCTACTGTAAGTTCAACTTTTTTCTTGAAATTTTTCCATTTTCTGTTTCTTTTAATAGTGAGAACTTCATATGGGGTTACCAGGAAGAGGGGAGAGGGGAGGGGTGGAGGGTACTTGTTCTCTACTCAAAAGTTGTAAGTGGTTAATAGAGGGTGTAACTTGGGATGTCTTTTAAGGGTAATTCTATAATATTTTTAGAGAATATGGTAACATTTTATGAGTAAAACTCTGCTTTTTTTTTTTGCAAATGAAGAGGCCGCTAGGCATTTGCCTTAACCACAACCTTTCTCAGCTTCTCTCTCTCTCTCTCTCTCTCTCTCTCTCTCTCTAACTTTGATTCATTCGGGGGTGAGTGGGGTTTCATTTATTTATTTATGTGTTCCTCCTTCATAGCCTAGGGTTTGGGTGGCACTTTCTTGGCCTCTTCAAGCTCGGGGCCCTGATGTCAGGCCTAGTTCCTCCGGGGCTGAGGTGGCCTGGGGGTGGGAGGAGGGGGTGCAGGCTATGTTTGGACACCCAGGGCACAGACCTGGAGGGTCTCACCCCCCAGATCTCCTCGCAGAGTGGGCTGTGAATGTGAACCAGCAGGCTAAGATGTGCCGGGCCGGGGCGCGTGTGACTGCCAGAAGAGCTGCATTGTGTTGGGTGCGCGGTGGCTCGGCGATGTTTGCAAGCCCTCTGGATGCACATTGCCTCTTTTCTCTCTTTCTTTTTGTCAGCGGTTCAGCGAGGAAGAATGCCTCCAACCCAGCCCAACCCCGGCCAGTACGCACTCACCAACGGGGACCCTCTCAATGGCCACTGCTACCTGTCCGGCTACATCTCGCTGCTGCTGCGCGCCGAGCCCTACCCCACGTCGCGCTATGGCAGCCAGTGCATGCAGCCCAACAACATCATGGGCATCGAGAACATCTGTGAGCTGGCCGCGCGCCTGCTCTTCAGCGCCGTCGAGTGGGCCCGCAACATCCCCTTCTTCCCGGATCTGCAGATCACCGACCAGGTGTCCCTGCTCCGCCTCACCTGGAGCGAGCTGTTCGTGCTCAACGCGGCCCAGTGCTCCATGCCCCTGCACGTGGCGCCGCTGCTGGCCGCCGCCGGCCTGCACGCCTCGCCCATGTCCGCCGACCGCGTCGTGGCCTTCATGGACCACATCCGCATCTTTCAGGAACAGGTGGAGAAGCTCAAGGCGCTGCACGTGGACTCGGCCGAGTACAGCTGCCTCAAAGCCATCGTGCTGTTCACGTCAGGTGAGGCTGCGCTCGCGGGGAGGGCAGGCCGCGCGGGGGACGGGCGCACAGGCATCGCCGAGCCAGTCCGGGCCTGGCCGCCTGCGCCTCCGGGGGGCCGCTACGGCCCCGCCGCGGGGTGAGACTCGGCCTTCGCCGGACCTTGGCACTGGCCTGGCTCAGCGGCCTCGGCGCGGGGACGCTGCGGCCCTGCTGCTGCCATCTTAGGAGGGCGATGGTGCGGGGAGCCGAAGCGGCGCGGGTACGAGCGGCCGGAGGCCTGGCCCTAACCGCCCAGACCCCCGCGCGGCCACGCGGCTGGGGCGAGCGTGCGTCTGGGGAGAGGGGAGAGCGGGGCGGGGGGAGGCGGTGTTGTGTGTCTGTCTGGCTGCGTGTGTGCGCGATGTGCCTGTGCCTGTGTGTGGTGTGCGGGTGTGTATGTATGTGTATGCGGGAGCCAGAGCTGAGCTATTCTGGGGGAGGAGAGCGCGAAGGAGAGAAGGTGGGAATGTGGCTTCCTACTCTGTGTGGCACGCTCATCTAGTCTCACTAGATGAGTTTCCCTACAGAAAAGAGACCCAGAAAGAGGAGGACAGGGAAGAATACCGACAAATAAATCATAAATAATCCCACTTTATTGCTGCCTGATTTTCCCTTATCGGAAACCATTCATGTTTGCAGTTGCTGAGGTTATTGAGGGTCGTAAAAAACGGATTCGATCTAAACAAGAAAGATAAAAAACAAAAGCAATATTGTAGAACCCGCAAGCAGGAGAGGATTCCTGGCCTGGAGATAAATTTCATAGCAATGCAAAACACGCCAAACCTTGGAAATGTAAAGAAGTGCCTTAAAAATATTAAATTAAGTGTAAGCGGTGGTAACACGCATGTTAACAATTTCTCTTATGATAGATGGTTCAAATTAACTTCAAGGAAAGTGCATTAACGTTGCCTTTGAAGGTCTCTGGTCTGAGGCTCAGAGAATGCTACCCGCCTTTTATTATTGTAACCTGCAAGAGGGAAACATATAAACACCCAGGACAGCAGGTAATGGGGGGAGATATAAACAAAGCCAGAAAGGAGACTCATGGGGAACTGAGCTGCTTAGACTGGGTCTTGGACCCTGCCCACTGAGTGTATGGTTAGCTGCAGTTCTACCACCATTATTGGCACTATTGTTTTTAATTCCTCTATTCAGAGAACAAATAAACCATTCTAATAAATCTATCCTAGAGCCAGCCCTCCAAAGGGCAAATTAAAACCATTCTTGGGCAAAGAAGGCCAGACCTCTTTCCCAAGGCCTTGCTGAGCAGTAAGCAGTAGTATAATCTATCAATATTTCTTGGCTCTCATGCATGAAGAATCGTATTTACATTGTATTAAAATGACTCTTAAATTTGCACAATATTGTAATGTAGCAAATGTAGTATTAATATCGATCTGAACAGCAGATAATTTATTTAGACAAGAGAGGCTCATTTGTATGCAGGGTGACCAGAGCCATGGACTTGGACTGCCCCCCTTTTACTTTCAGTGAAAATGCAGGTCCGCTAGTGAAAGAGGGAGTTTTCTTTGCAAGAGGATAAAGTATGAACCTTAAAACAAATGGAAGATTTATTGAATAGCCTCCTCGGTGTTTGAATGCATTTTATCTTAATAAGTCTTCTTGATGGAAACGTGTTTTTCAAAAGTGACAAAGAGTCTGGGAAGCAGCGACCAGGCTCCTTTAGCTCTGGCAGGCCTGGGGCCTGGCTGGCTTTCCACTACCAGGCTCTTTAGCCAAATTCATCAGGAACCAAGCCAGTGTCAGAGAAGCTGGGGTTTTAAAATCTCATCCAGAGAGGTGTCTTGAAACAGAAATGTGGCTTGGAGCTGGACAGAAGTCTTCTCAAGAAAGCTCTCTCCTCTCTTGTCCCAGTTCCCCCTAAGATTCTTTGAACACTCTTGACTTTGCTGATCTCATGCCCTTTCTCAGAGAGAGGGGAAGCCTGTGCAGCCCACAAGGAACCCTGTGGAATTATTCATGATTTTCTTTTTTAACTTTTCATGCTAAAACATTCCTATGAAAAGTAGTCCTTAAAAAAAAAGTTTTGCAAAGAAGTTTCTTGGACCAAGTCTTAAGGTACAAGGGGTGCCTAAACGTGAACAATAACATTATTTGGTTGAAGAATGCAAGCAGAATATCTGAAAATTGAAATAGAGCTGTCAGTAGTAATTCACCCTCCCCTCCATATAACACATTTCCACTTTTGACTAAACTTGTTTTGATTGCCAGCCAGAAGGGAATTCATGGGAAGCCTTCTCAAAGTCATCCAACTTTTAAGCAAACTTTGAGTGATGGAAAAGACAATTTTAGCCATATTGTCCAATGTAGTTTGCTCTGGCTAAGTATTTGAGGTTGGCATGGGGATCCCCCATGGTGGTTTTCACATTTGGCCTCCGGATGGTATGTTTAATCCTTAATATTCTGGACAGCATCCAAAGATTAGGTCGTGACCTGAACTTACTTAAAAAAAAAAGATTACTTAATTCATATACCTAAATATTCCTTCAAATAAATGAGACTGTCTCTGAAAAGAGCCATCTAGTTAACATAAATACAATAAATCCATTTTCAGCACAATAATAACTTTGATTTCTAGTTATGGTAGCTGATTACATCTATATTTCCTGAACACTAAACTCTTCTGAATGCATAACATGAAATACATTCTCTGCACTACAAAGGCTAGGCCGGGAGGGCCTGAGCAGTAATGGTTATTTATTTACATAATTTCTTTTCCATACACTGTAGAAGAAATATTGAGGGTTCCCACATTGACACTATCATATAAAAAGTGAGACATGGGTTTTGTACACTCTGTCTCCTTTCCTTATCTGAAATATAACTCATGGTGTGTAAATATGTACTGCTTCACATCCCCTGCTCACCTAGCTTATCCACCCAGACCCACCAATTAATTGATTGGAGAGTTTTCACATCCATCTGTCCACAAATGGGAGAATCCTGTTAAAGGCGAATAAACGAACACCCAGTGTAGAAGCCAGGCCAGCATCAGGGCTTCTGCTGGAGGGAGGTCACAGGGTTGGTTAACTGGTACCTGGCAGGCAGGCCCAGCTAAGGGCATTCTATCTCCAAAGGAAAAAAGAAATGGAAGCAGCCAGCACAGGGCCCATGCAGAACTTTGCAGTGCTTGTCTCTCTTGGAGTGTCCTATCTTGAAGTTCAGAAAGTGATCTTTCACTTGAGGAACTATAATCATAAATATCACATAATTGCTTTACTAACCTCAGGAGATGTCATAGGGATCTTTAAAAAAATCTGCTGGGCTATAAGTGGGATCTTTTCCTATTTCATTGTGTGGCAGAGAGTGATGCATGGCATAAGGAACAGATAGTGCACGTAAAGCAAGATCTATGTAAATACGGGTCCGCATAATAGTCATTCAGTGGGGCCATATGAGTGAGCAAACCCAAAAGCTGACCTCAGAGTCCTCTTTCTAAGCAGTGAAGCCCCTAAGACGTACTGTCCTGGCCCTGGGGTCCATTAAAACCTCACTGGCTTCTCAATTCAGGTAGCGTTGAATGCACCCAACCAGCTGGCTGGAGCAATCAGACATCTATGAGGAATCCAGTTTGGATCTGAGGTCAAAGGAAAACTTGCCTCAGAAGTTCTTAAATTATCACTAGTTTTATTTGTATTTTTGCTGGAGGCCACATCCTTGAAGATGAATGCGTTGTGAACCCTAGTTCTTGAAATACAAGGATATACAACTCAGAAACTCAGGAGACACCGGCTTTGCTTTGAATCATTTGTTGTGTCTTCTTAGGGTCACTTTTGCCCAATCACAGTCATATGGTGTCCTTTTGGGGGCATTGCCATACATAAATTTTCCTCCAGATTTCCATATTAGCAAACTCTGCCTTTGATCTTTAGTCAACCTCCTAACTAAATAAGGGCTCTTCTGTGATCTTCCTGATTTAAAATTTTACTGTTAATATAAAGGCATCATGAGTTTGTGACTAAAAAGAAAGCCTTCCCCCATTCTATTCCTCCGATGCCATTTGCTTACCTCTAGTTGGTTAATAGAGGATATTCTATGGTCTTGAAATACTTTTAGAGGACCAAGGAGGGCGTTGGTTGCCGTGGTATAAGCACCCAAAGTTTGAGATGCCATAATTTTGTAAGGTGCCTTTTTCTCCCTTAGTCCTGACACAGGAAATCCATCTCCTAAATCCTTCCTTAATTCCCCTCTCCTCTAGTTCTGAGATGGGCTGCAGCTGCTGCCTCTAACCCAGCTTTGTGTCTGATCACTGAAGATGTTTCCTTTCTACAGCCTGGAGTAACTGAGCCATATTCCTTCTGATTATTATACAGCTTACAGAGATGTGACCAATTTTCAATTACTTGATCTACAGCACAGATAGAAGTGTACATTCTCACTGAGGATTTGTTGCAGAATCCTTGTGTGCATAGATAGTGGATCTTAAATCCTGTATTGCAAAAGCAGAGACTTGATCTGATTCTGGGTACTGGCAGCCCAAGATTCCTACGAGTGCCACGTGTGTTCACTACACAATTTACATTCTCCTTGAGCTTTCTGGTTGAGGTCATTTGGGTCTGAGAGAAGACTCCAAGAAGTCTTTAAGAACTGCCTGCAGTTTACTTATTTTTTGGGGGGGGATCTTGAACACCCCAAAATCAGGGGCAGAGGGTACAAAAATCCTGCGTTTAATGAGCACAGCTAGAAAGATGCTCCCCTGCAGGCGAGAACAGGTTGCTACACACTGCAAACATGGCTCCAGCGTCGTACATTATTTAATCCAAAGGTGAAAGAGGAAAAACAAAGGGGCTAGAGAGGTTGCTTCCTCTACATGTATGTGCATTTCTCTCCTCCTCCCCTAGGCTAGATGGTGGTGGGGGTGGGAGGTTTATTTGTATAGGGGCAGGAGGAAGAGAATTGTGAAGAAGGAAGCAGAAAGGGAGGATTTCTTTTCCTTCTTTTTTCCTTCTTTGATTTCTTCTTTTTACCTTTTCTCCTAAAAAAAAGTAATAATAATGGCATGTTGTTTGTCCCCTTGTTGCTCACTGGACTAACCATGTGCCCCCTTTCCCTGTCTCTTCCTCCTGTGGCTGCTCCGGCAGATGCCTGTGGCCTGTCGGATGCCGCCCACATCGAGAGCCTGCAGGAAAAGTCCCAGTGTGCATTGGAAGAATATGTGAGGAGCCAGTATCCCAACCAGCCCAGCCGCTTCGGCAAACTGCTGCTGCGACTGCCCTCCCTGCGCACAGTGTCCTCCTCTGTCATTGAGCAGCTCTTCTTCGTCCGCTTGGTAGGTAAAACCCCCATCGAAACTCTCATCCGAGATATGTTACTGTCTGGGAGCAGCTTCAACTGGCCTTACATGTCCATCCAGTGTTCCTAGACCTTGGGCACTTCCCATCTTCCCCTGCTTCCCCTAGAGACTCAGAGGACTCACCCAGGCCAAGGACCCCAAAGCCTCGGGTACTCTGGTGAGGTGGACCAGGCAGGCCAGCCGAGGGGGAGGTGGGCTGGGGACAGAAGCAGCCACTCAGCAAAAATGCATCCTGAGCTGCAAACCTAGGAGAAAAAGAGACTCTTTTAGGATCAGATCTGTGAGCACGTTGGAAAGGAAAGAAAAAGGATTTTTCTTTCTGGTGGGAAAATGAAAACAAAAGAAAAAAAACAAGGAAGAGAGGACCATGAAAATTTTAATAAAATAGAAGGAGACTGGTGGACCTTCCAGGATTTCTTGTGGATGGATGTGGATATATTCTGTACAGAAAACAACACATATGGAAGTGGACTGAATCCTATGTAGACACACACACAAACACACACACACATACACACACACACACACTGAACATTGTTATTCATTTTGTAAAATACTAGTCTTTATTTTCATTTTTGTAAAATTTAAACATCGTATGCGCATAAAGAAAAAAGGAAACAAGAATTAGGGGAAAATAACATTTTCCAAATAATTATAAAAATTGTCCTGTGTCTATGTATCTATATCTGTTTTGTATTTTTTTCTGGTTCCAAACCAGATTTCCTGTGATTCTATACTAATAATTTTGATATAACCCTTTGCTTCTTATAATGAGTGCGATATATGTTGTCGAGGCTGTTCTTCAAGAATTAAAATTGAAGTGAAAATTTAAACAAAAATAAAAGAATTTAGCAAAATCCATGTGTCTGGTTGTTTGACCTGTGTCTCAGTGCAGAACCCTTCCTGGTTAATTGCTACTTGTACAATTGTAAGGTTTTTCTGCGAGCCTGGGGGGGGGGGCGGGGATCTTTTGAGGTTGAAGACCACATTGGCTATATTCATTTCTTAAAATTAACTGTTGTCTTGGTTTTGTGTATATGAGGGACCAGGCTTAGCATAGGCTGTTGTCTGTGGAGATAACAGGGTGCCTTGTTCATGGGCTTTGCGGGAGCTGAGGGCAACCCTGGGCACAGTTGGGTGGGGCATCAGACATTTTCTCGAGGCATTAAGCATCTGGGCATTTGGCCTGGTTGAATGACCAAGTGTCAGCACTGGGAGCCTGAATAGAGTTGGGAGCTTGTGGGAGAGGTTTTGGAGAGGCATGCAAGTAGAGAAGCAGAAAAGGAGATGGTCACACAGATGCTTCTGAACCCTGGACAATGGATGCCAGCCAGCGGCTGGAGTGTCATGACCCTCCTCAGATCAGTGATACAGAGCTGGAGCCCAGACATTTGTGTTCTAACTTTGCTTCCTTTTATGGTCCCCTGAAGATCTGTCTATGCGTTGCTCTTCCCTCTAGCTCCTGCCACAGGACTTCCCAGAAGGGTCCTGGAGTGCCAGTCATTGAATAGAAGTCACATCCCCCGTGTGGCACTTAGAGGGATGGACCTGGAACCCAGGCATAGTTGTTAGGAAGCAGAGTGAGAGTGATTTCTTCCCAGAAGCACCATTCAGGTCCTAGCAGCCCTTGAAGGACAGAAACCTCCCCTTGAGGCGGCTAGTTGGGTGTGTGTGGGGGGCAGCTCTCTGTAACAGCTTTCGGAGCATGAATGTTTTATAGGATCTGAGCTGGAGCTGTGAGAACACATACTGCCAAGGGAGCTCTTTCTTAACGTATTAATAAAGCCAGATCTTTAAAAATAACACCCCTCACACCCTTTCCTACCTCCCCCGCCCCCCCCCCAGCCGAGACAGGCCCCTGGGTGAGAGGAGAGCTTCAGTTTCAGAAGTCACTGGCAATCTTTTCCTTTCAATTTTCTGCCTGGAAGTCTCCAGGTTCTTCCCCCTCCCCAAATGCATTAATGAGCTCGTACACCCCAACCAGCCTGAGGTTTTTAGTATTCTAGGTGCAGCACCGCCTGTGCAGAGTGGGGCTCACAGTAGAGATGTTACTGCTGGTCCAAAAAGCCAAAGCAGAACCCTTGGGGACAGCGTAGACCGGGGCAGCTAGGTAGACCAATACCACCCCATCCTGGCCACCTCCTTTGTACCACATGCAGAAATATGTTTGTGTTCAAGTGGACTCTCTGCAGGTTGGGCACCCAAACAGGAAGGCCTCGCGAGAGCTCATATTTAATGCAGACCCAAGGAGTATTTAGGAGCCATCCCAGGTTGGCTTGAGACAGAATGTGGGGATTGGGGTGGGGTGGGCTGCAGCTATGCCGCCGAGGGGGAGGAGAAGCAAGCTGCTTCCTGGAGCTCACCGATCTTTCCTGTCTTACTTGAAATGAGATGTAAATATATTCATTACAATGTGATCCCTCTGATGAAAACAGATAAACATTTTTGTAGGTCGAAAACGTACTTTTCAATTAATTTCAATATGGAGGCCCAAACACAAGCTCAATGCTAAGCGCTGAGCATAGTGAGTGCCGGAGACCTGAGGTACAAGAGACTCTTGCTGGGTGTATGGAGGTGACAGTGTCGGCCTAACTCTTGCTTGAGAGATCCACAGCACTGCCCATGGCCTGGGGAATCCAGATGGCCTTTCTATGGCCTGGGCCTAAACCTAGACAGCTTGCATAATGAGAGGCCTCCCCAGGGTCTCACAGTCTCCCTTATGAAATCCTCTAGGAGCCAGGAAAACCTGGAGCTGAGGGGAAAGAGGAGTTTAAGGTACTCCAGTTCTTTTGGGGATCCTGCACAGTGGGTTTCTCCTGTTATCTTTTTGATGCCTAGGATGGTCTCCATGTGCATTACACAAGGAGATCTGTTACACCAGGAGATCTGTGGGGTTGTGTGAGAGAGGGGGGGGCAGGCTCAGGGGTCATTGTGTGTCAGTGCTGGATAAGGCTGCCGCTCGGCAGGCAGCAGTAACCCAAAAGCTTTCCTCTAAGAGAAAGTTTAAAAGCCAGGATGGAAGAACCTTACCGCAGGTTGATCCTTTTGATAACGGGGAAACTCTGAGCACTCTGAAGGCTTCCTCTGGCTCCTGGCTAGGTTGTTTCTGAGGGGTTGAGGGCTGAGGGGTCTGAGGTCTGTGGTCCTGAGGACAGGCAGCAATAATACCCAGGTCCTGGATTTACTCGGACTGTCCCAGAGGCCGTGGACAGGAGGTGAGGTGGAGCAGGTGGGAAGCCTCCTCTGTCTGGGTGGCCGCCAGGAAGCTGCTGAACAACGGAGCCCACCTTCATGACAGGCACCAGGGGGAGCCGTGGAACCCCGGTGTGAGGCTGCAGGCCAGAAGGTGGCCCGGAGTTTGGGAGAATCCAGCTGCATTAACTGGGTGTGACAGGAGTGAGGGGTTCCCAGAGAGCCAGAGGAAATACGTTTTGAAGTTGAAGAGCACTGTGGAAAGAAAGGTGCCTTTCCTTTCAAAATCACCTATGACCAAGCAATGCTTTTCTAGTCTAAACACTTGCTGGACAACTGAGAACTTTAAGGGCTTTGAAGCAGATTACAAAAGGCCACAAGCTTTGCTGAGAACCCGAAGAAAGCCTATCTCTGGACGCACTCTCCTCCAAGAATTGCTAGGGAATGAAGCTGTACCTTTTCAGCTCCAGATTTGAGACCTGGCACAAATAAGGGAAAGTATGGCCTTTGCTGAGCCTCATCCACCCCCATCCGTCCCAACCTAGCACTAGCCTGGATGAAAAGAAGCCCAGAGGTGAAGAATTGGGTCTCCCAGTGTACCAGAACTGCCTTAATTTGTCAAACTCTACCCCTCAGTTTTTGGGGGGCTCTCTGCCTTGGGCATAGGTAGGGTCTTTGTAGGCTTCAGGAGGCCCAACCTCTCAGCTTTGTACCCGAGGATCTGGAGCCTGGGGGTTCACTTGTCCACTTGGAGCATACAAAAGAGTTTCTTTTCTTTCTTTCTTCTTTTTTCTTTTTAAATCTCACACTTTTCCCTTCACTCCTCTTTATAACTCCTCCAGTGACTACATCGACTCCTGAGAGCTTTATGATTCCTTAAAATCACTCACTAAATGTTTCTGCAAATAAGAGACCTTGAGCAGCATGAGGAGGGAGTGGAGAGGAGGATACAAGTGGGAACTAATAAAACTCATGTTAAAGGGGCTGCTCAGGATCTGTGGCATCACTGGGCCCTTTACTTAGGAAGCCAAAGAGTTGTATTCTTAAATGAGTTAAAGACCCATTTACCTCTGTCGTGTTCTATTCATCAAGCCACAAGTTGAGACTTCCTAACATGAAACTATTTGTTTGCTTACACAACCAGCTGGGTGCAATTTCACGTCTCAGATATCTATCTGAAAGCGCCTCTCATTTATTATCTCTTCTTGTCAGTGAATCTATTTTCTAGCGCCCCCCTCCCCCATTTGGAGTTTGTATTTATTTATTTATTCATTTATTTATTTATTTATTGTGGGACGTCATTGCCTGGGGGAGGACCTGGGGCACCTGAAACACTCCCCAGGGAACAGTGGCTTTCCACACAGAGTCTGCAGCACCCAAGGGCACGTGCATTTGAAAGAAACAGAAGCCCACCAGGCCACAGCTAATTCTAGCTGGCTGGTGGGAGAACCAGGGTGTGGTTCGGGCAGTGGGTGGGCCTGACGACTCTGCCGGTCTGCCTTTTTGCTTGAGAGCCCTCCCTGCTGACACTCCCAGTGTAAGCTGCAACCACCTGTTCCAGGGAGAGGATGGAGGTGTATGTGCAGAGTGGGGGAGGCAGTGGGAGGTGAGCCAGGATACTTTCCCCGAAATGGCTTCGGATTTGAGAGATGGTGTCACAAAGCCTCACCTAATCCCATGGGGCCAATTTCTTCTTCTGAGGGCAGAGCCTAGAGTGAGTAACCAAGATGTAAATAGTTGCCTGATGGATTGGGGGAGGGGGCAACGCATTTATTGTGTGTTTGAGGGGAGAAGGCTGCACGTGGTTTCAATTTTGAAGCACAAAGAAATAACACGCAATGCAGAAAATAGGTTTATGAATGTAATTGAGAGGAAAGAAAACAATTAACACGGTGCAAGGTTGCACACTGGATTCCCCACCCCTCGCTTTCCCTTCTATCCAAATTTTGAGAAATTGGGGCATGTGAATAGAGTGGGTTTAAGCAGTAAGATTCTGCTGACAGGGGGAACCCCTGATGGGAATCGCAGTGATAGCAGGATAATGGTGTCTATCCATCTCCTGGACTGCTAAGGCCTCTTCTAACCAAGCTGAAAGCAAAGGATCAAATCCCCATGTCCAACATACAAAACACCCCCAGTTGTAAA